CCTCCACAAAAGCTGAACCCACAAACAGGCCTTAGCCCGGCTCCCCCCGATACCTTTGGAAAAAGGGTAGTAATGTAAAGGTCCCCCACAAGCTTCATCTTCAGTCTTCACTACCACGACCACATAGAAACTATGGCTGGGGAAATCCTTCTTCTGTGAAAAACCAAGGAATGGAGAAAATCTTTGACTGAAGATCAGAAATAAGACTGATCTTCAGACCCAACTGGGCAGCTACAGGCTCCTTGTTCGCCCCTTCAGGTGCCCTGGTTTCTACTCACTAACCGTTGTGTTACAGACAACACGTGGATGAACCCTCCAGAGACTTGAGTTTGTGATTCAAGATGCTGCTTCAGAAGCCAAGGCAAGATAGGCCCTTCAGGCCAACCGATAGCAGCAGCATTGCTGGCTAACTGATGCCCATGGTATCCCACATAACAGGAAGGCTGACTCGGGCAGTCAGATTACAGGGCTCCAACTGGCAAAGGTCCCAGCCAATCAGTTATACCTGCACTGTGATGGCTGCCTTCTTGGTCATGGTCTGGTATGTGCCAATAAAAGCCACGTTGTTATCCAGATCGTAGACGGGACACTGGGCAGTAAGAAAGAAAGCAAGAAGTCAGCCTCTTGGGCGAAAGGAGGCTTGGAGCCTCCTGTGTCCTGTAAGCAACTCCCCCCCCCACCTCACTGACCAGAATGTCCTGGACGGAAATGACCGAACAAGGGAAAGCTGTGGATGAGGTCACTTTAATGATGGCAGAGTCCACCCCCTCTGGGAACTCGTACTTGAAGTACTGTGGGTCAAGGAGAGAGAGAGGAGAACCACTTCAGAAGACCCTGGCTGATGACATCTTCCTTTCTTGGGGCAGCACATCCAACCTGCAGGTCCTTCTCTGCCTGCCAGCTGTGGTGGCTCCTTGGGGGCCCTTCCTGAGGCTGGGAAGCCTCATCAGGGAGGCCAAGCAACCAAGCAGCCTCATCTTGCTTGGAAACCCTGCAGCCGGTGCTCCGAGGGCAGAAAAATCACAGCAAAGAGGCTGCAGCTTGGCAGACAGGGGCCTCCCTCAGCTCCTGCCTGACCCGAGGACAACAGAAAGGCCTGTCCAAGCACTGGGGTGAGACGGACAGACCTCCGGCTAACTGTCCCTGTTTGACAGCCAGGTCCAGAACTCAGAAGCACCCAAACTTTGGCTGGGGAGGGTCTTCTTCCCATCCAGGCAACACCCCCGCCCACCTAGATTGCTGGGAAGCCTACCTGTGGCTGGGCTGCTGTGGCGTTGAAAGTGAACCGCTCACCTGTCCTACATCAAGAAAGACCAGCAGGGATAGCGGTTGGTGCGGGCAGAGCTACCACAAGAGGGGCCGCACTGTCCGTTTGCCCTCTCGGCTCAGAGACCCCATCAGAAACAGAGAAACTGCTGCTCCTTACTGACTGAAGTTTTTCACAACCCAAGTCCTTGCACACTTCTGGGACTGCGCATCTCCCAATCTCCCTGCCTTCCAGCCTCCCTCTCCATTCTCCACCGTCTGTTCAGGCCTTTCCCATGGCTGGGACTCTTCCCACACCTTCGCCCTTCGTCTTGGACCACCAGCCTGGCTCACCTGAGTACAAAATTCTCCACACGGGAGACCCGCAGTTGGTAAGAGGCGTTGCTGGCCGAGAGGGTGGAGACGTCCACAAAGAAGAATTGCATCTCGACCTTGCTCTTGGTTGGAGGCTGGCACAAAGTGCGGCTGACATCTTGGTAGAGATACTTCCTCTGGAACCTGCGGGCGGGGGGTGGGGTGGGAGAAGGAGCTGCTGCGGGCATCCTGGGGCCCTTCCTGGACCTCCAGGTGGCCACAGAGTGATTGGGCCCCACACTGAGGTCCCCTAACCCAGCCAGCCTTTCCGTTTATAGAGGGCAGCTTGAGGACCAGGCAAAGCCGAGGTGGGGCCAGGACATTGTCCCAGACTCCCAGGAATTGGCTGGGTAAGGGTGCCAGCTGTTGGCCCCAGCAGGCTCTCCCGCCTGTTGGTTTCCCAGCTGGGCAGTGCCATGGGAGGACGGCGGGGCCGGATACTCACAGGCCCCGGAGGATTAAGGGCACTTGGAAGGAGACCACCGCCTCCTTCTGCCGCACCACGAAGAGCACCGGCCTCTCCTTCTGCTCGGAGAGCACGTTCACCGACACCCGGACGCCCTCGGTCTGTGGGGCCACGAGAGAGGGGGGACTCAGGACGAGCAGCCCCATGCCCGGGACCCCCGGCCGCAGAGCCCGCGAGGGAGGGAGGTGGAGCCGGGCATGATTCCCGGGCCAGCTGGCAGGCAGGCGCGGGGCAAAGGTCGGAGAGCCGAGCGGCGGAGGGCGAAAAGGGCCTCGCCTGGCGCGGAACTCCCGCTCCCGTGGCCGGGCTCCCTCTTCGGCAGGCAGACACCCAGCCGCCGCCCCCGCTTCCTGCCGCCCGAGGTGCCAGCGCGTCGTCCGGGGCCGGGCGGAGGCGCTCATCCGGCAACCCGGATTGAGCGCCGGGGCCGGGTCGCGGCAGAGGGGAGCCCCGGGGAATCCGGGCCGAGGCGGCCGGCCGCTGCTGTACTCGGGCGGCGGCGGCTCACCCGGTTGCGCGAGACGGTGTGATTGAAGGCGTAGATGTTGAGCAGCTTCTCGTTCACCGCGTCGCCGTAGAGCCGCTCGAAGGCCGCCTCCTTCTGCACCACGCGCTTCTCTGCCGGCCCGGCCGCGGCCCCGGACAGGGGCAGCAGCGGCAGCAGCAGCAACGGCAGCGGCGCCCTCAGCATGGCCAGCGGGCGGGCGGCGGAGGCCGTCAGCCGCGGGGACGGGCGCTCCGCTCGTCTGGGCGGCGCCGCCGAGGCCGCGTCCTTTAAAGGGGAGGCGGCGAGGGCGGGCCGCGGAGAAGGGGCGGCCAGCCTTCCCGAGCGCGACGGTGCGCCGCGGTCGAAACGCCGGCCTGGCTCGGAAGGCTGAAGGCGGCGGCCGCAGCCGCTGCGAAGCTCCCGAGGCGTGAAGACCCCAGCCACAGCCCCCACCAATGAGAAGCTGACAAGGCGAGTCGGTGGAACACAGATCTTTATATGGAAACACGCACTAAACCAATGAGCTCTCCCAGCCATCAACGCCACTTAGCCAGAGTAGATTCATCCCTCCAAGGCGCATGGAAGCCACTGATGTGGGGTCACCGAGTGACTGCTGCATCCCAACTCTCAGCTCTTCCTACAAAGCCAAGGGAGTCAGCCCCTTCCCACATGCATGTTACAAATAAAAGACAACCACCCCTTCATCTACACTCCCCAACTGCTGCGATAAATAGAAAATAAGCAATGCTTGTACATCACAGGACAGACAAGATTCGGGGTGCAGCACAAGCTTTCATACAGGAACAAGAGGAGGGGGACTCCAAGGAAAAGCGGAGGAGGAGGAGCCCGGTTATATAAGCAAGGTGCTCCTGGGCTGGCAGTAGGTGAGCCAACCTGAATCCTCAACAAATCTGAATGCTGGGACCTCTGTGGGGTACAAGAAAGCAGCAGAATACTGGCCCCAAGGATACAGCAGGGACCTCAAGGGGACTCTGGCGAGGCCGCCAATCCCATGGCAAGAGACTGTGCTTTCGTATCGAAATCAAGTCTGCATCTGAGGACAAGGGCCACTGGCAGCTGGAAAGTCCTGTATGCAAGCAAAACCACTGGGCTACAAAGCGGCCACAGCTCGGAAATGGCTCCCAACCAGCCAAACCTGATGCAAGCATTAGGCTGCTCGTGCACATCTCTGCAGGAAAATAGCAAAGTGCCACTGAGACTGCCCCTGCTCACTCCCAGTTCCCATCCCAGAATGCCAACACAGAGCACTCAAGAGAGTGTGGATTCACTCTGGGAATTCTTTGACAGAGCAAAGCCTTGTGCTTTTGTCAAGCTGAAGCCTGTGCTGGGAGATGCAAGAAAAAAGATGACGGGCTGGATGACCATGGGCCAACCAGGGCAGGAGCCTCAAGAAGGTATGCATGACCAAGAGCACATCCATGAACGAAGACACCTTCTCAGAACAAATCCAAAACCAAGTGGGAAACGGGTGATCTTCCAGGGGCTACAGCTGGGGTGGCATATGGGGGAGGGAAATTATGACAACATTTGGATGGTCACACACTGCATCCCTTACACTGTGCTCTCGGGTTTCAAACCGTATTTGAAGAACTGGGGCAGCACGCCCTTGACCAATCACTTGCTCAGGTGAAAAGAGGTGAAGTATCTTCCTTCTTCACTGTCTGTTTAGGGACAAAATCTTTCTCCCACAATCTCACTTGTTTTCTAAGACTGAAAGTCCTTCCCAGAAAAATCTCATCCAAGTATAAACTGAGGCATTACACTTCAGAAACTTTTTCTAAAAACTTTTCATGACACCAAGCCCAGAGAAAGAGGCTTCCCTTCACAAGAGGCCTATTTTCTGACAGAACTGAAATATCCTGGGCAGATGAAATGGCTGCAGCCAGAGGCCTCATTTGCATGAGTAAAATACTTATATAAGGTTGACCCAAAAAAGAAATGGATGCCCTGGGATTATGAAGCTCAAGCCTTGCAAGAAGGGAAAGGACTGGGGGGGGGGGGAGGATGCAATGGAACAATCACTTGCTTTCTGCTCTTAAAAAAGTGAGCATTCTGAAGCAGGAAATCACCTAGCAAAAAGCATCAGTTTGATCTGGATGGGAATGAGCAGATAGCCTCCAAGGCCTTGGACAAGTTGAGAGTGTTGCACCAACACACCTCAGAGGCACGTCTTCCCAAAGCTGACCACCTCCCACCCTGTTCCCAGCAAGGGAATCACATCCTTTTAACAAAGAAATGAAATTGCCAAGTTAAATGTGTTCACTCCTTCAACACATAATTGTTCGCAAGTATCAAGTTGTCACAAGTAGCTGTCTCCTGTTCTGGTTTGTTTGTTTCCCAAAGCAAGAAAGCAGCTAATATCACTTAAAACAAAAACCCAAACCCAGTAAATATAAAAACTCTTCAAACAATTCCAATTTTTAAAGAAGCAGCTACTTTTCAGTCCAGGGGCTGGAATGTGAGTGCGACCAATGAGTTTAGGCATTTCAGCATTGTAGACAGCCTGGACATCGAGGAGTCGGGAATGGGAATGAGAGCAGCAGAGGCCAGCAGGTTGCTGACCAGCATGCTCAACCCACGAGCGAGAAACGGCTTAGGGGAGATCCTGTTCCTGTTAGAGGAAACCTGTTCAGGCCAAGTGAGCAAAGAGGCCTTGGGAGATCTTTGGCCAGCCACAGGCTGTGAAACTGGCCATGCCACCCCCCACCTCCCTTTCCAGTGCTAAACACAACACCCAGTAACATTCAACAATGGAAAGCACGTCGAGCGAGGATTCAGTAGTGCCATGGAAAAAAGAACTGGGCTGATGGCGCTGGGATGGGGCTGGATGGGAGGCTGTCAGGCCAGAGTTGCCTGTTTCTCTTCTGGGGTTTCCTCCAGCAGCTGCATGATGAGTTCATGGAGGGGTTTGCAGATCTTTGTGTAGCCGGCACCCGTTAGGTGCAGAAAATCGAACATGTCGTGGCATGAAATGGTGCCATCCGAGTGCACAAAGCCCCCATCCACATCCAGCAGCTGGACTCCAGCCAGCTTTGGCAGGGAGGTCTTCAAGATCTGGTTCACCTTGGAGTTCTTCTGCCGCAGGGGGTTTGGCTTCTCGCCTCGAGGGAGCAGGCCCTTGAACAAGGGAGGGAAAAACAGCAGGTTAGCAGGCTCCTATCCTTAGGGAAAGCTCACCCCCAACCCCTGGCCTATCACTCTGTACGCCGACACTGCCCTGCGCACTGTCTGGACATGGGCACACAGGTGCTGCCTCTCTGGCAAGTTGAGACCTTTGTTCTTACTTGTCTTTCAGAAGTATCTATAGTCTTCCGGTATTAAAATGTCTTCCAAACTCCCATAGATGCATTTTTGGCTTTTCCACAGCCATTTTTTAAATATTAATTAGTATGTGAAGAATTGTGAAAGAAATTATCCAGATGCTTACAAAAATTAAGCTGTCAAAAACAATGATTAAATTAGTGATTGTCTGAGGCAGATTTCTAGTTCTCTTCCTCAGCCAAGGTAACTCTTCTCCAATTGATTTTCTGTAACAAAAGCCAGCAGGCTACCACAGCTGTTCTCATGATGCTTCTTTTCCACCTGATTAAAAAAACATACAAATGCACCAAAGATGCTACTTTTACATACCAGTACGATAATCTTAGCCTGGGGCTGCTGAGTATTGATCAGTCTCACAATGGCCTCTATTCCACCAGCTACTTCCTCTGCTGTGTTTTCATGGTTGTTTGTTCCAACCCAAACAACGATGACCTGTGATTGAAGGACCAGAAAGAGACAAACCGCAGTGATTTCTGTGAGATTTCCCGGCTTCAGAGGAAAAGGAAACATCACATGCTGCCTCTATAATGTCAGTGCCCAGAGAACATGGCAGTCAGAAGCTCTCTGTTTCCTTGCCAGTCACAGATATCAATCAGACTGTGAATGTAATAGCTGTGAATTAAAATAACATAGAAATGCTTTAGGTAGAACAAAACCTTGCAAAGGGCCGTGGTGTGTGTGTGTCTGTGAGAGAGGGAGAGAGGGAGGGAGGGAGAATGAAGACTATACCACAGGAGGTTTGTTCTTTCTCATAATTACAAGCACCCTACCTTGGGCTTAATATTTTCCAGTTCACCGTTCTTCAGTCTCCACAAAACATGTCCTGTAGTGTCTCCACCAATCCCAAAATTCAGTGCATGTAATGGTGAAAAAAGTTCTCGCCATATCTGCAATGATAAATTTTAGGAATCTTTCTTGAAGAAAAGCAGGGGATTTCAGGAATAAACTATTAATATAGTTAAGCATTCAGAGGTTGATTAGATTAAAAAATGGAAACATGTTTATTCAGGCTGAAACAAAGGGTTCACCCTGGGTCATCTGCAATCCATATAAGGATTTAAAGGGTCTCCTAATCATCTGGAGGCCTGGAAATCATCCTATGATGTAACCAAACTTCCTGGACTGGGAATGGAATCTATTTGTCTTTGGAAAACCTCCCATGGCCTTTCCCACTATGCAACAGAACTAACACCACAAGAAACAACCAAATTATGATATTGAAATCCAGCCACGATGTTGTCTGAGATTTTCGGATGCTACATTGTCCCCCAAGGGCCAGATGTTGCCCACCGAGGTGGCCCCAGGTGTGCCCTAGCTGTTTGTGCATCCTCAAACCGCTTACAAATATGCCTTCAGGGTAACAGATGCAAAGAACCTTTTCTGCATGATAATCTGCATTCTGCATGATGATTTTGCAGAATGAGTTTTGAGGAACAGTCTCCATAAGAAGGCTTTCTGGGGTGAGTGAGCCTTTGCCCTATTTTTTCAAATCGGAATTATTTATCCAAGCTTTTCTACTGGAAATCAAAGTTTATTTATTGTAATTTTACTGTTTATTGCCGATCAATTTAAAGATGATGAACAGAAAAGATGGAATCCTATATAATGATGAATGTGCAATTTTACTAAATGACAAGCAAGTCCCCTAAGTGGATCAGATTCGACCAGCCATGGATTTCCGCAGGAACCCCGGAAAGTCCTCCTGCGCAGCGCAGGGTACCTCGTACTGCTGCAGCAGCTGCACCATGGAGTCGCCCACGAACAGCACGTCGGGCTCCTTGTCCTTGCAGTCCAGGACGAATCGGCTGTGCTGGAGGGAAGGAGGCGAGCAGCGTGAAGGAAGGCCGCAGCTTTTCCACGCCGGCCCCTTCCCCGAGAGGGCGGGCGGAGAACGGGCGAAACGACCGAGGGCCACGCTCCAGGCCAGCTCCGGGAGCGCGGCCGAGGCCCCCCGCAGCCAGGCTCACCTGGGACATCCACCGGCCGTCGCCCTGCACGTCTTCCGCGATGTGGGGCGTCGCCGCCGGGTTGGAGTCCCCCTGGCTCATCCGGTCCCTGCCGAGAGACGGGGGGAGGGGAGAGGGGCGCATGGGCGGGCGGCGGGCGGAGATCGGAGGCCGCCCCGCCCCGCCCGTCGCCATGGCAACCGGGCGCCCGGGGCCCCGCGGCGCGGGAGGAGGCGGGCTCGGCGGAAGCTGCCCAGAGGGGGGACACGTCCCTCGCCCGCCCCGCACTCACGCTGCCGGCGACTGCGGCTGCCCCCGCGCCTCCATGGTGGCTTCCCGGCGACGATCCGATCTGCCTGCTCGGCCTTCTCTCGCCCTCCCCCGCTCCGGCCGCCACGCAGCGCGCCTGCGCGATGATCCGCTTCCGCCGTCTCGGCAGCTCTCGCCGGAAGTCCCGCCCCTTGGCGCCTCGGTGTTTCCCGGGGGGGGGGCGGTCGGGCTTCTCCCCGGCCGCTCGCGGGCTTTTTTCGCCGGCGGCCTGTCGGGGGCGGGAAGAGCGACGCGCCTGGGGGGCGGGGCCTCGCCCGGTGAGGCGGCCTCCAGGGGGAGCCCCGGAGCCGCCGGCCCCGTGGAGTGGGCGTCGCCGAGGGGCGCGGCTCTGCCGCAATGCTTGTGCCCATTTCTGAGCGAGGCCCGGGGCCCGGCAAGTGGCCACGGCGGTCCCGCCGGCTGAACGGCACAGCCCGGGGAAATGGCTGTCGACTTTGGGATTAAGGCCCCGCTGTAGGTCAAGTCCGACCCCTGCTTGGAAGGGCGTCTGCCTGCGAGGCCTTGGGTTAACACAGCTTTCCGCCTGAGGAGAGCCAAGCCTTCAGGAGCCTTGATTTGGGGGCGCTCCAGAGCAAGCCCCGATGCAGCGGGTCCGCTTGAGGCCAAATCGCAGTGCGGACCTGGTGATGTAAATCGGAAGGAAGAGAATAGGGAAAGGGCCTTCCGCACTGCCTGGTCCCGGACCCCATTTCTTCAGCACCCCAAAGCCTCTTGGCAACTAAGGATTTTCGTGGAATGGACAATAAATATTTGAAATCCACTAAGTTGGGCCTGGTTTTCTGAGTTTGAAAATTTCTTAGAAATCCAAAATAGTTGACATTTTAAAATTGGAAACAATGAAATGTTAACCACTGGATGATCATCAGTTTAAAGTCCCAAAGCAAAAATATGTTCAATTGTAGAGTTGCAAAGGAATTAGCTGTGTACACTTGCCATGATTTCCCTCAATTCAAAGCATCTCATCTTTTCCTATTAAGATCATATTCCTTGGTGCTAATATCCTTCATGCAATCTTCCACCTCGTTGCTGCTTAAAGAACCAAATTCCTTTCCATCTCCTGATGCCTAGAGACTTACATGTTAACATCCTTGATTGTCTTCCCTTTGCCAGAAGAGGCGCCCACTCTAAGTAGCCAAGAACTGGATGCCTGTCACTGTAGGGGTATATTGAGAGCCAAAGATTTTCAAGCTGCAGATGTCAGTTGTTTGAGCAAGCAGTTACCTTGCTCCAAGGCTGATAAGTACAAGGAAAAACTCTTAAGCTGTGGGAAAAGAAAGAAAACAAAATATTTAGGGTTAGGGCAGGGAGTAGGAGATGAAACTGTACTCTTATTAGCACAGAACATCAGCTACTCTCATGTTTTCCCCCAGATAAAATGTCCTATCTAGCCTTGCCATGCAATGTCTGGGAAACTTCTGAAATTGAATTTGAGTGAGATGCTGACGCCATTTTGTCTTCAACAATTCCTTGTTGGGCATTTTTGAGGTCACAGAACAAAACAAGGTGCAGATGACTGAATAAAGGAGGGTGGTGGTGGAATGGGAAGAGCCAGATAAAGCAACAGTACAGAATATGCTTTTTCACCTGAAATCCACAAAAGGCCAGGTTAGCCATCTAAGTATGAGACAATTCCTTCCTCCTCTCCATGCAATTACCCTTTGATTCTTTTTTTCAGCAGGTAACCACACACCTGTTCTTTGCTTTCAGGGGAAATGAAGCTCCAGTGTTGCCACTGGCAACCACTGGACTGCTGGAGACTAATTCAGCTGTTTCCCTAGGCAACAGTTAGAAGGAAGCAGCTTTAGTAAAAGATGCAGGCCACAGATCTCTACGTGGAACAGAGCCCATCAGCCAGCAGCAAAGTCAAGCCCTTTAACTCTCGGAGTATGTGTAGGTGTTATGCAGCATTTCCTTTTTCCATTGCCTGCATGGTCCATAGTCATTGTTCTAGTTTTCTTCAGTCTCCATCTCACAAGGGGAAGGGCTGCTTGCTACCTGCACTGTATTAAATTTCATAATCTGGAATTGTGCCAAATTAATCATGAGTGGTCAACATTTATGACAGATTGGAACTGTTACCATGTATTTAACTCTCAAATTCTGGAAGCAGCAAGCTTTTTCTTTGGCCAAATCAAGATCATTTGGTAACTGCTATTAGAAGAAACAATGAGGAAGAGGAGAAATATAAAATGGAAAGTTATCCTCCTCTTGCCTTTTGAAGATCTGGTAAAAAAAAAAGGCAGAAAAGGAGAAATGTGTATATCTTTGTCAAGTGAAGCACATTCTTACCTTTAAAATCTGCCTTCATCAGATCAGATGAACTCCCACTTTCTCAAACACTCATACAAGGGGGCAGGTTATCAAGAGCCCTAGTGGCACAGTGGTTAAATGCAGCATTGTAGGCAAACTCTGCCCATAGTCTGGAGTTTGAGCCTGACCGGCTCAAGGTTGCTTCAGACTTCCATCTTTCCGAGGTCGGTAGAATGAGGACCCAGATTGTTGGGGGCAATATGCTAATACTGTAAACTGCTTAGGGAGTACTGTAAAGCACTGTGGGAAAGTATATTAACGTTGATAGCTATTTTAGCAGATCTTCTGTAGGGTGCCCTAGATGGCTGCTCATCTTCCTTGAACAGGATCCAGTTAGGGATGGAATCTTACAATAGCAGGGTATATGGAACATCTAGTCTCAGTGCAGCTACTCTTCTAATGAGCTCAAATATGGAACTAATTTTCCCCACACCTGTTGCTTGTAGAATGCCACAGGAACATAAGTATGCTTCAGCTGACAAAAAGCCGGTCTATCCAACCTTCTGTGGCCAAATAGACACCTGGGGCTAGTTCCCAAGAACATGAAGCAACAGCAATTCTCATTTGGCTGTGCTAGCAATTCATACTACCGGTAAAATCTATTTTGCTTTTCTTGTTGGTTAAAACATCACTACTTAATAAACTTAATAAACTACCAACTACTGAAGTGCCTATGATGAAAACATAATTTAAAATGTACAAGCAGAAAAATTAACATCAACAATTATGATAAATCAGAGCCTGTTTAAAATGTATATTTAAGGTCTTTTGAACAGCTAGCAAAGAGATCAACTTCAACTTTAGGGAGTGCATTTTAAAGAACTGGGAGACTGTGGAATACAGAACTGCAACTAGTTTCCATTGACAGCCATATCCTTCATGAAGTTGCTCAGAACCCGGGATAAGTAAACTAGGTTTACCAGATAAATCTTTCAGGAAGTCTCCACTCTTCATGAATCCTAGGGCACTCTAGAGGGCACCAAGATATCCTTCCCAGCTGAGGAACCCCAGCCTGGAAGTTGCTCCTCAGAGTTCCCAGCTTCACTCCAGGGCGGTGCAGTGCCTTCTGTGCCTATCGCTGTACAGACTGTTATGGAGTCTGGCCTGGAGTGCTCAGCACAACTCAGTATTCTGACTCAGGTTTGTTCAAGCTTTTAAGACTGAGAGCAGATTGTTCTTTAGCCCTGAGGCCCTCTGAAAAAGACCAGGAAGTTATGGCATTTCCTGTTGGGACTTGTGAAGAGTTCATCCAAATTCATCTAGTCTGTATCCATTGAAAACTAAAAACTATGCTAATGCAAGGGCTTTTTTCCTACTTTTGTCACACAAGAACAACAGAGAGGTAGTTCCAACTATCTGTTGAAAAGTGTGGCTGCTAGTTGCAATCTTCTGCAGAAGAATCTAATGATACCTGTAGGATTCATCTTAATTCTATCTTACTGTTATTTTATAAACTGCAGACCGGAGCTTTTTTGTATTATTGTATAATTTTTTCCTTTGCTGTGGTTTTACCTCCCAACTTTCCATTCAACTCATGATAGATGACTCCATTCAGGGAGCTGTCATTTGGCTCGAAAAAAGTGCGTTTAGGTATTGGCTACATCTTTCTACCACTGCTTCCATTGGTTTAAAAAAGCAGGGCGGCTCGCCTCCTGGGGCGTTTCTTCCTCGGTCCAGCTCCAACCGGTTGGCCGCGAGCAGTTGCTCGAGGCTCCCCGGCCCTCTCGTTGCTGTGGGGGCGTCCCTCCGGCGACTGCCCTGCTCGGGATCCGGCGCCGAAAGACAAGGGGCTGAAGTGGGGAAGCCAGGCTCGGGCCCTTCCTCTGCCAGGGCGAGGCTGAGTCGCCCCGGTCCGTGCCCGTGCCCGACCTCGACCTGACCGCGCGGGGAGGCCTCGGGCCTCTTTATTGAACCGAGCAAGCGGGGTGGAGGAAGACTTTCAGGGAGCCTTCGGCTCGCCAGCAGGACCAGGTCGGCGCTGAATCGGGCCGAGGACGGGCATCCCGGAGGTCGCTGCTGCTGCCTCCTCTCCAGGCCCCGCGACGACCACCCGGAAGCCCATCAGCCGCCGGCCCTCCGAGGCCGCTCGGCCCGGCAGGCGCACCACGTCCCCGACGGAATACGAGGCGGCTTGTGCCTTCGCGCGCGCCGTAGCGCTCCTCCGCAGGCCAATCAGGGCGCAGCTCACAGCGCCGACGTCCTCTCGCGTCACAGCCGTCGCTGCCGGGCGCGCTCCTCCTCCGCCGGTTGCTATGGCGGCGGCGGCGACCCCGCCCCTGTGCGGATGAGCTCACGCGGTGCCGCAGCTCCGGGAGGCGGCGGCGGCGGCGCGGGGGGAGGGTCGTCGTCGGCTCCTTCAGGATAAGATGGCGGCGGCTGCGGTGTCCGGGGGGGGCCCACTCGCGGCCCCGGGCCCCCGCCTGGCCCCGCCGCCGGCCGCGGGCCGTCCTCCGGGCCCCGCG